CCCTCTTAGATTTTCAACCACTCTGAAGAAATCAAGAAAATACCTCAGACATCCCACATCAGCCGCACTGAGGACTGAAATAAAAGCAGCAACAATACCCTGGAGAGTTAATATTACAGACAAGCTACAAGCAGGGACTCCTTGATTGGACTGGAACATACCAAGAGAAGCAGAGAGGAGACTGGAAGATTCGTGGAACCAGCACAGAGACCAGGCTTAAGGCAATGTGCAGATTTCATTCCCTCTCCCCTGGTTTTCTCTCTCTTTTTTTTTTTTTTTTTTTTGACAATCATTATACTCTTGAGGCTGCATTGTCATCAAAGAGATAAAGCAATTAGGTAACTTCTCCAACGTCAGAAGTAATTTAGAGGCAAGAGAGGAACTATTCAGAGAGATGGAAAGATGAGCACAGCCTGCACCATCTCTTCTGGGGCCCCAGCGAAGGCAAGAAGCCAGGAAAAACTTGGTTTTGACTTCCCAAGGTACTCCTGACCCTTAAATGTGAGAAAAGAGCCCTCTGGTGTGCAGGAGCTGGGCGTGTCATCCTTCAGGAGACCAAAGACTTGGCCCTGCCCTCACACACCTGAGAGACTCCCACTCAGTGCTGATCACAGCTGGGGCGACAAGATGTGACATTCTGGGAGTGAGGAGACAGGTAGAGGCAGGTGAGAACCTAGGACAAGTTCTGCTCTCCACTCTGGGGCCTGGGCAGGGAAAAGACCCCTGTGAGGCCCCAGGCAGGTAGAAAGCCCCAAAGCAAGAAAGGGCTTGGCTTCTATGGCCAATATGAGATCCCACTTGAGGCAAGTTGTGTAAAAACATCCTCCACACAGAACAGGAATGCTGCCCGGCGGATGTGAGCAGAAAGGGCTTGAGACAGCGACCTCACTAGTCTCTGCTGACAGAGGGAGGTCACAGCAGGGGAACCGTGGGCGGACTAGTCAAGTTGGAAAAGCTGGGCATAGAACAAAGAGTGCTCAGGAGAATCTTGATGGACGTGGTGAGCAGAGCTCCCAGATGACATATCTAAGATCCGTCCCTCGTGTGGCAAGGACCAGGGCTGTCACCAATCAACTGAAGATGGTGAGGACTCTGTGCAGGGGGAGGCCAGAGACAAAGAGCTCCAGGAACCACCTCCCGCCGACAGCCTACACCCTAGAATTGAGGTATAACCCGGAATCAACAGAGTTTACCTGGAATTGACTGCATTCACATTTTTATTACCAGAGGGAACCAAGACAGAAAAGAGAAGTCAGACTGAAAATAAAAAAGCCATCAATGAGAATGCCTCACTTTTGACTCACCAGCATCTGTGCAATGATGGAAAGTCATTTCTGCAACAGGCACAGAACAAGATGGCTCCTGACACCATCCAGAGCCACCAAGTGTCTCACAACGGCTGGACTCCCTGTGGGCGGCACTCTCAGAGCTCCAGCTTCTGGGCCGTGGGGCTGACACGTCTCGGAAGGCAAACCACAGGGTTCACTCCCTCCTACTTCCACCTCCGCAGCTAAGGAGCCACAGGAACGCTGCCTCTCCTTTCACCTCTGACCTCTCTTGCAGCCATCCCCTTCTCTTGATCCCAAAGCCCCCAACCTCAGGTGAACACTCACCACCTCTCACGAAGTACTATGAGAGCCACACGCAAAGAGCAGTCAGAGGAGAAGGTCAGCGTTCCCTTGATTGACTTTTGTCCAGGTAAGACACTCTTCGTTGAAATGTTTCATTTTCCGTAAGCGCCTTGGGACTTTAATCAATGCCCTTACTGCCCACCATATGCCCTACCCTCCCAGGAAATACAGATCACACCTGCAGTAAATAGTTAAGCATCACAGCCTAAAAGGGGATCACACACATCCCCATCAGAATATTATTGGTTACTGCAATAAATAAAGCATAGCCGCTCAGTCTGATTATCAACAGGGAGTTTCTGCTTCTGGTCACACTTCCAGAAAAACTCTACTATAATTCACAGCCTAGGAACTGGGTCTTCAATACAGAGGGACCAAACCTCATGGAATGATATAGACCAAGTGTGATCACTACTTCAAGCAAAAGACTCACTGGCACAGGATCCCGGCTGCACTTCCTAGACAGCTGCCAGGTATTTAGAGAACTGGGTGGGCAGTTCCAGGACTCATTTAGTCCAGAGCTGGATGACTTCATCACGCAAACTGCTGACCCAAGAGCCAGTAGGAACAAAAAATAATTATATGGGACAGAAGGGATGGAGGAGGGACATATATAATTTTGAGTGCTTTGGAATATTGTTGATATTATTTTTCGCTGATCTTATTTTGACCTGTATACACGGACCCCTATCTGTTCCTTCCGGCCCTATTTCTCACTATTAACTGAGTTGTCTGTGCTTTTACAAACATTTTGAAAACAAGCCCTTTTAAATAGTAATCTTGTTTTTACTGACCATTCAGAATTCAGACAACACTATTTTTTTCTGGGTCTCTGCTTTTAATGGCAATACAGTTACTTACATACCTGCGAGTTTAATAATGTGTCCTAATTTTGCTGACCAATAAATGGATAAATAGGCCATATAGTTAAGGCCCCGCCTTACTCAGGTGTGAAAAGCCCACCATTAAGAAATAAGGGTTGTCAACACTAATGATAAAGGACTGATCACAAAAATCTGCAAAGAGCTGATGAGACTCAGCAACAACAAAGAAAATAATCCAGTCAAAAAATGGGCAGAAGAGCTAAAAAGAAACTTCTCTGAAGAGGAAATGCAAATGGCCAACAGACATATGAAAAAATGTTCAACATCACTTGTAATCAGGGAAATGCAAATCAAAACTACCATGAGATACCATCTCACACCAGTGAGAATGGCACATATTAAAAAAACTAGCAACAACAAATGTTGGCGAGGGTGTGGAGAAAAAGGAACTCTTGTGCACTGTTGGTGGGAGTGCAAACTGGTCCAACCACTATGGAGAGCTGTGTGGAGATTTCTGGACCTACTAAACATAGAGCTTCCATATGACCCAGCAATTCCACTCCTAGGTATTTACCCAAAGGACACAGAAACATCAATTCCAAAGAGCACCTGCACTCCTATGTTTATAGCAGCACTGTTTACAATAGCTAAGCTTTGGAAACAACCCAAATGCCCAAAAATAGATGACTGGATCAAGAAGATGTGGTACATATATACCATGGAATATTACTCAGCATTCAAAAAAGATAAACACATGCAATTTGCAGCAACATGGATGGCACTGGAAGGGATCATGCTCAGCGAAATAAGCCAAAAAGAAAAAGAAAAATACCGGATGGTCTCACTCATAGCAGGAATCTAGAAAACTTAAATAAGGGACCAGGAAAATGAATATAAGAAAGTGAAAATCAAAATCAACAAAAACTATGAACCAGAGACACTTTTTGGGGGGTGGGGGGCGGGAGGGGAAGGATTGGGGTCAGAATGGGGCGTTTGCAATTGTATGGGGGAATATAAAAATAAAATTTAATATTTGAAAAAAAAAAAAAAAAAAAAAAGAAATAAGGGTTGTACTTCATTCGGAGAACCACAGCGCCCTCCTAGAAACCCGGTCTGTTCCCTTATCATGGAACATTAGGAAACCTTAGCAGACTGGGAGGACTTTGCAGAGAGACACAGTCACCCCCACTAACAGATCCTATCAGCAAAACAGTGGAGCTGAGTTCCTCAGTTTTGTCTTCTAGCCAACGAATGGAAGAGCAAGTAAGAGCCAAAAACCAGTGTAGCCAGAATAACTGAGACTACTGAGTAACTGAAACTTTCTAAGAAAATTCTTAAACTTCCAGACAGAAGTTAATTTTCTGGCCTTGGTAGTTGCTAAATAGCACAAGGCTTTAAATATTCTGACGGCACCAGAAGGAGTCCTAGGGATACTAAACTCTCATGCAGACATACAAATGAATCAGGCCAAAATGCAAGGGGGTCAGCTTGTTGGTCAACAACAGGGGGAAACGGCATGTGACCCCATGGCTGTATGGCTTACAATGGGCTTCCACATCCTTAGTTAAGCTTCCCACAGAGACTTTCAAAACAACATTCCCAGTCACCACCATGAACAAACTAAGACTTGAACATCTTCATCTATGTACCCTGGAAAAGACAATACAGCTGACAAAGCGGCAGGTGGATAAACACTTGGCCTATTCCTTCTCCTTCATAACAAATAGCTGCTGGTTTTGCAAGGCCTCTGTGTGGGTGCACATGTGCACATGCAGACACACACACACAAATACACATGCGCGTGCGTGCATGCGCGAGTGCACGTATGCGGCATTTTCCATGGACTCGCCAGTCTCAACAGAGACAGTCCTGCTCCACAGAAGGCAAATGCAAACATCCATCTTGGGGCTCATTAAGGAAAGCTTAGGAAGGGGCAGAGACCAGTGGGAAGGCATTACTTTCTCCGTCGTGAAAACATCCAAATAAGCCTGACCTTTCCGGCTCCTCTCAGCCATGGAACAGAAAGCTGCCCCAGGGAGGTGCTCTCCTTTCATCTGTCCCCTGGCTCTGTGCTGCCTTCCAAGCAGAATATATTAATAAAGAAATGCTTTAGAGGGGGCGACTCTCCACTGTTGTGACATCTCTGCAGTCTCTGTTTTGAAATTTGGCTTTGAGAAGTTCAAAGGATCCAGAGATGAGAGTTCAGGAAGACCAAGATCTACCCTGGCAAGGCGGGCCCTTGTCTCGGAAGCTGGAAAGGCTGCCCTCCCTACCCCTTAGCCGGTTTGACCTCGAAAAGAACCAAGTGCACGTCTCAGCCTAACAATTCTTTTCAGACTTTTAGCTCTTCATGTCCCACAGAATGGCAGCTGAAGGCAGCTCAACTGAGAGTCCCATAATAAGCTGGAGGATCTGCCAAGACTCCCCAATCTGCCTAGAACAGCCAACCTGGTAAATGCAAGGTTCCAGGCATCCTGGGCAGAGCTAGGCACTGGCAGCCTTCCTGGCCGCCTGTCCCTCCTTCCCTTGGACCTTCCCCACTCACCGTTCTTCTCTGCCTTGTGTTTTGGTGGCTCAGGCTCCGGGAGACAAGGACAGGGCCCATCACAGAGGGTGGAGAGGCTCTTGCCAGTAGAACAAGCATGGAACTCCAACTTGCACTGCAAAAGAGACACAGAGCAGGCCATAAGAAAGCAGTGAAGAAGATCTCTAAGCAGCCTCCTGAGGAAGCAGCCAGTGTGCCCTTCTCACCACAGCTCTGGGGAGCAAAGACAGAGAACCAGTCCATCTCAGTTAAAGATCTGCATCATAGAGCATGTCATGAGAAATGGTCTCTTAGTTTTTTCCAGATATATAGGATGACTTCTCAAAACACTGTAGAAGCCCTGGAAGGCTTGCTTTAATAAACGGTAAACTTGGGCTCCCTCGTGGCAAAAGGGGTTAAGCACAATGCTATGAAGCTACCTGCAGCCTCTGCAACAGGAGTTCAATCCCCAGCTGGCCAGGGAGCAACCCACATGGCACAGCAGAACTATCCTGTTGCACCTGCCGCTCCCCTCAACAGTGTACTTCAGTCAGTCTGCCTGTTCTGTTCCCCATTCTGTCTCTGGCGAATCCTCTCACCACCCCCACACCTCTGGCCTGTAACCCAGTTCTTTTATGCATAAATAAATAAATCTTTAAAAAAAAAAAGGTAAACTCAGTAGTAACTAAAGAAAAATTTTCATACGAAACGGTACCTCCATGGAGTCCCCCAGAGTCACAGGGACACCCACTTCACAGCAGAAGGCTGCTTCCCCCACACGCCCTTCCTCCCAGGTGAGAGGAGCTCTGCCAGTGCAGCACACCTGTCCTGCTTGGCTGCTCCCACACTCTTGGGGAAGGTGTGTGGAATAACACTATTTAGTAAGTCTGGATGACATGTGTGAGGGTGAGGAGTGAATGCTTGGCCTTTGACCGCCCCAAACCAAGTTGTATATGGGGGTTTTGAGTCCCCCAGAGAATGCGTGTGGTTGTCCAGTTAGCCCCAGAGTGGGTGGAGTTCAACTGTAGAACTCAGTATCAGAAGCTCAAAAGTCACCCCTTCTTATCAAACTTTATCAGTAATAATGATAATCTTTTGACCACTTCCTGCCAGTTCTTTCCACCAAGAAAAGAAGAAGGCCACAACAATTGACGGCACTTTTGTTATTCCTGTGTTACAGAATAAGCCACCGAGGCGCAGAGGTTAAATAACTTCAAAAGACTATGATGCTCATGACGGCCGGAGCCAATTCCCAGGCCAGGTCTGACTCTGGAGCTAGGTACTCAGGGTCCCCCCTCACCGGGTCTGTCACGTGGGTGGGGCTCAGGAGAACAACCCCCGGTACTATGGTGAATTATGCCTGGATCTGAGTAGTCTGCGAGTTCACTTTCTTTTTATGGGTAAAATTCTCAAGATCAAGGCCAGAGTGTCATCAGCGCTATGCACAGGCCCACAGGCCCAGGCCCGTGTTTATAGGGAGTGGAGGTTCAAAGGCAGAGGAGATAGGCCAGATTTACCGAGCACCCACTGTGCGTGTGGCTCTTATCAGGTTGCCGAGGGGAATGTTTTCAAAGAAAGAAGAGAAGAGATACAGTCCTTGCCCTTGGAAAACACAAATAAGTCTCTTTGAAAAGAGGCGGCAGCATTTGCTAAGCAACACACACGAGTGCAGATGAATTCAGGCGCATCATGAGAGCCAGGACCACTGGGTCCCAGCCCATCACCAACCCGGGGGAAGAGCAGTGAGGCCTGGTTGCAAGTGGACCACAGGCACTGCTGGAAGCCCCGCTGCTGCCACACTCGCTGGCTCCCCTTGCCGCACGAGAGCAAGAGATGCCCCAGAGGCATGCAAGCGTCTCCTGGATGCAGACGCCTTTGTCCCGGGACTGGTGTGCATCTAGGGTGGTAGCAGGAGTTGTCTGGCCTTCCCAGGAAGCCAGGGTCAGGTGTCCCACATCACCACCTAGTGATGAAGCACCCAAGAGCACGTCCTCCTAAAACCACGTGGAGGAGACTCTCAGGTCTGGAGCGACATGGTGTCTACGGGGTGGAGCACAAAGGCAGGCCCGGGCCTGCAGGTGGTCTACGTGGATGGAAGGTACGACAAGAGGGAAGCTGGACGGAGGCTGCTGAGTCACCCCAGACTAAGAAGCACCTTTCCACATAGCACAGATACGCGCCCCAGGACAGAGTAAGACCCAGGGCCTGCCCTTCCTCCTGCCCCCAGGGGCCAGCTCACGGCAACAACCCTCTGCTTCAGACCAGAGGTTCTCAAAAGAATCCCTGAAGCTAATTTAGGACTTTTTCTTGACATGTGAATTTATTTCATGAAGTCAACATGATTCCATTTCCTTAACATGAAGTTTTATCGTAGTGTTGCTGTAACTGCCCGTTTGTGCCCGCGACGGACCGCACGCCTCCCACGCGTGCTCTGGCCTCCCTGACAGAGGAGCCCACCTCACTCCAGGCCTGTGTCCTGCAGGCCAGCGCCGCCCGCTGGGGACGGCCTCCCCTCCCTGCTGCCCGCCCTGGCCCCGCGGCCCGCTCCGGGCGGTGAAACGAGAGGCGCCGTCTGAGAAGATGCTTGAGGAGCCTCTGCTTGGTCCTGCCGCCTGTGCTTTCCCTCTGCCGTGAGAACGGATGGGGTGGGGCGCCAGATAAGGGCTGCTCCCCCTGCCCGGGAAGGAAGACGCGGAAGGGAGCTGTCGCGCTGCACGGACGAGGAAGTCGTGCCTGCAGCGGGGAGTCTGATGTGTGCGGATCACCCGCCACTGAAGGTCCCCGAATCAGATCACCCCAAGAGTCTCAAAACTGGTCTCTCGGGGACTCCCTGCTCTGGCATGCAGGTCACTGATTAGTGGACAGCCACGAAAGCCCTGTAGGCTGAGGAGAGGCATTGGTCTTGGTGTCTATCCTTCCTCTTCCCTCACTGAGGAAGAGATCCACCCTTGCTCTCTAGGTTTTTGCCCATTCCTTACTCAAAGAAATAATCACTGCTCCCTTTTTTTTTTTTTAAGATTTATTTATTTGTTTATTTGTTTGTTTATTTATTTATATAAGCACAGGGTACAGTCAGAAGCGCCGGAGGGTGAGAGAATTCACCAGAGCCAGAGCGGGGAGCAGAGCAGGCAGAAGGACCGAAGTACACTGCTGAGGGGAGCAGCGGGCAGCAGGAGAGGTCTGCGCGCCATGTGGGACCCTCCTTCGGTGGCCGAGGAGCAGCCGGGGATCGAACAGCCCTGCAGAGGCTGCGGGCAGCTTCGCAACACAGTGCTCAACCGCTGCGCCACCAGGGAGGCCCAAGCTCCCTTTTTTAAGACCCAGGAGAATGTAGGGTTTTTTTTTTCTGGGGTGGAGGCTCAGCTATAGGTTTGCCTGTAGACATGTCCTCTCTGTCTAAGAAGCTCATCTTTCTAAAGTCGCCCCTTCTAGTCATGTAAAGTCCCTCCTCTTCTCTTCTTGACACCCCAAGTCCTTTAACTCAGGATCTGTACCCCATTCTCCATGGCCAAACTTTGGGTCTGAATCACCAATGTAGCTCCCCCATGCAAGTTATGAAATTTATTATTCCTGTACTAAGCAGTCTGATACTCTTTTGGGCTCTCATCCAGCCCAAGAAGAATCCAGAGGGGTGAGGAATTTGTCCCTGCCCTACACATCACCACAACACAGCAGACTTCTACTGGACTTTGGAGTATGTAAGAGCAGGAGGTCTTAGTCATCGTCTTATCCCTGGCATGACACAACATGCACACAACAACACATAGTAGGTGTTCAGTAAATAGCTGCTGAATAACAAGGGCAGAAGGAAAGATGGCTGTTCTCTGCTGCTCTAGACCTCTGCCCAACCACCAGGAGTGACCAACTGTCTGCTGAAGGCAGGCCTGCGCTGGAAAGCCACCTTTTGGACAGCCACCTGCCCCGCCCTGCACCCACATCCAGCCCTGAGTGCTGTCAGCGCCAATCAATGCTCTGCCTTTCTACCTCCCTGCTGTCCTATCTGCTTCCAGGCACCCACAACATAGTACCCCTCAGATGCTTGCTTCCTCCGGAACCCCCCATCCCAAGTAATTCTAGTAACTCAGCTGTTGCTTGGGTCCTGCCCCCAGGCCCCCTCTCATGTACAGTCACTGCCACATTCTGTGGGGGCAGCTGGCCTCTTCCCTGACTCCAGGAGGTGCTGCCCAAGAAAACAGATCACTGTCTGCAGTGGTGAGAATCTGTGTTTAATGGCACAGATCTGCTTTTTACCTTTTAGGACAATGTGTGGCATTTAAATGAAGCTCAAAGGCCATAATGCCAGTTTCTACAAAACTCAAGATATGCTATTTAGAGATACATATATATGTGCTGAAAGCTCTTTTGAAAGATGCGTGAGGGATGACAAATACCATCAAGATAGGGGTAACCTCCCAAGAGAGGCAGGGGGATGGCACAGACATCAAGAGCCCCAGGGAGCACTGTGAAAATTGGGAGTGGTTTATTTCACATGTTGGGTGCTGGATCATGAGGCTTTCATTTTGTTATTAGGTTGGTGACTTACATAAGTAATACATACAATGTTCGTGTATGAAATGCTTAATGTCAGAAAACAAAACAAAGCTGACAGAGTTCTCTCTGGGTGGCGACCACGCTATCCAAACGTCCTGAGAACACTCGTTAAGAGAGCAGGTGTGGATGCCTCTGGGAAGTGGGAGGGAACTACTGGAACTATCTGGAACTATCACTGGTGCTGGCTGGACAGAGGCAGCCTGAGAGGCTGCAACTCAGGCATCTTATATACACTCCCTTCCTGAAATGCCTCTTGAAGTCCCACCCAGGAAGTTACCCAGCCAAGCTCTGACCTCATTCTCTCTCCTCCAGAGAATGGAGGGAAGGACAAAGAAGCCAAAAGGTAACCATGGTGCCAGCTTCCCCTGGAGGGGCCAGATATGTTTCAAAGCACAGGGCTGCCTGCTGGACTGGACTTGGGCATGAGTGACCTTCCCCATTGAACAGAGGCTCCAGCTCCCTCTCCCAACCTGCAGTTAACAGGGGCCCAGGAAAGCCCTGGCCACTTACCCACAGGCACAGTGGAGAGCAGGTGCAGGCCTGGCCCACCTGGCAAGTGCACACAGATTCTGGAAGCACAAGTAT